GGTGGAGGCATGTTGGGGGCAGCGAGGGGCCCTCAGCATGCACCCGGTAACCTTTGTGCTGGTCCCTTGCAGAGTTTCGGGAGACCCGAGCAGCGCAGGATTTCTTTGCCACTTGCCGGAGCCCCAAATTGTGCTGTGAGCTGACGCTGCAGGTGAGCATTCCTCAACGAGGTCCGTGTGTCTCCCTCTCCCTGACCAGATGTGGACTGGGAGAAGCCCTGTGTCTGGCTTCCCCAGGTGGTGCCAGTAAATTGTTCAGCGCTTGGAGACCCCACTGCCTCATGTGCTTGTCCGGGTCTTCCATGGGGAGCGGTCCCAGCCCCTCACTGACACTGCCACTTCTCCTCTGCAGCCACTCAGACGATTCCCCTTGGATGCTGCCATCATCTTCTCTGACATCTTGGTGGTGCCCCAGGTGAGAGCCATGGCCAATGCCATGGGGAGCAGCTGCTGGGAACAGGGCAGAGTTCAGGGATGCCTCATTCCTGCTTCTTCCGTTCTCCCCTGTCCCCAGGCGCTGGGCATGGAGGTTGTCATGGTCCCCGGCAAGGGACCCACTTTCACAGAGCCCCTGAAAGAGGTGGAGGATCTGCTGAAACTGCGACAGAAGGTGGACGTGACCGCAGAGCTAGGTTATGTCTTCCAGGCCATCACGCTGACACGACACAGCCTGGAGGGCAGGGTGCCCCTCATCGGCTTCTCAGGGGCACCGGTAAGTGATGTGGCTCCTCCGTGTGGGTTTCCTTGCTGGGCTCCTTTGTCCTGCTGGGGTAACACCAGCCATGACATCTCTGGATGTGGGTGCTACAGGGCCGTGTAAGTGGGGGACATTCAATGCAGGAGCAGCTGTGCCTCAGGCTCTGGGGTGCTCACAGGTCCTACCTTCAGCACTGCGACTGGTGCCTCATGTCTTCTTTCATCTCCCTCCTCACTTCTCTCCTGCCCGCAGTGGACACTCATGTCCTACATGATTGAAGGTGGCGGCTCCTCTACAATGGCCAAGGCCAAGAGCTGGCTCTACCGGCACCCCGAGGCGAGCCACCAGCTGCTGCGGCTGCTGGCCGATGTCATCACTGACTACCTGGTGGGGCAGGTGGCTGCTGGAGCGCAGGTGTGTCCTGGGGCATGGGGGCAGGGCCAGGCAGGAAGGCAGGGACTGGGGACAGGGAGCAGAGAGGGTTTAGCTTCTGATAGGAGGAGGAGGGACTGTGGTGTTGCTCTCCCAGCCCAATGGGAACGTAGTTGAGTTGCCATCCCTGGAGGTATTTGAAAGATGTAGTTGTGGCACCTGGGGATATGTGGTGGGTTTGGCAGTGCTGGGTTAACTATTGGACTTGGATGATTTTAAAGGTCTTTTCTGACCTAAATGACTCCATGTCCCTGGCAGGCGCTCCAGCTGTTTGAGTCCCATGCAGGGCACCTGGGCCCAGAGCAATTTCAGGACTTTGCCCTGCCGTACATCCGAGACATCGCCCAGGCTGTCAAGAGCAAGCTGAAGGAGGAGGCGCTGCCCCTGGTGCCCATGGTGAGTCGGGGCTGCCTGGAGTGACCCTGGCACCTGGGGGCTGCTGGAGAGGGGTGCATCCCCTGGTACCTGCTTGCCCCAGTTTGGCCCGTGGAGAGGGGCCTGACCCATAGCAGAGGTACTGCCCATCTCCTCCCTCCCCAGATCATCTTTGCGAAGGACGCGCACTACGCGCTGCGTGACCTGGCCCATGCTGGGTACGAGGTGGTCGGTCTCGACTGGACCATCCGGCCCCAGGAAGCTCGGTAAGAGTCTGACAGCATTCAGGTGCTCTTCTGCCCTAAGCCATCCCAGGCCCGGACATGGCTGCTCCAGAGGTGGAGGTAGTTGGGCCACCATGCTACAGCAACCAAGGGCTGCACTGAGGGGTCCTGGGTGTCTTGCGATGGGGGCTGCAGGCACCTGGCTGCCCTCAGCCTCTGCACCACATGCAACAACTCACAAGCTTCCTCCCTGCTGCAGTGCACAGACAGGGAAAGATGTCACCCTGCAAGGGAACCTGGATCCTTGTGCTCTCTACGCACCCAAGGTGAGCCATTGGCCATTTTCAGCAACCGGGGCTAGTTCCAGCCTGTGTTAAAGGCTCAATCCTCCTGGCTCAATTTCCCCACCTGCAGTTCTGGCTTGTGTCCCAGAAGTCCCTTAGGCTGGCTGGGAACTGGAAGGTGGGAAATACCCTGGGATGGATGGGACTGACATATCATTTCCCACCGTGCCTACAGGAGAAGATTGGCGAGCTGGTGAAGAAGATGCTGGAGGCTTTTGGGACCCAACGCTACATCGCCAACCTGGGCCACGGCCTCTACCCTGACATGAACCCTGAACACGTGGGTGCCTTTGTGGAGGCCGTGCACGCTCATTCCCGTCACATCAACAAGCACAGCTGAGCCTGGGGCCTTGGGGATAGAACTCTGGTTTGGGCACAGTCACCCCAAGTAGTGTGTTGTCACAGGGCTTGCTCCAGGCTGGGCTGCAGCATTAAACCAGCACCTTTTCCGCAGCAGCCGTGTGGCTCTGGCTGGGGGGAGAGGGAACTGGATGGCCCTGAAGGACATGAGCCGTTCTGGCAGGCAGCTAGAGGGGCACGTGGGGACAGGAGGAGCCCCTGAGCCCCATCCTGTTGGTCAGAATGGGGAAACAGGGGTGCCAGCACAGTGAGGGAGCTGCCTCTCCTTGCCAGGCTGCACAGTGTCTGTGCTTGCAGGAAAGGATGTGAGCCCAGAGCACAACAGGCATCTCCTGGCTCTATGGATGCACTCAGCTCTGCTAGGGGAGGTGGGCTGCCTGAGGCTGGCAGGGTCACAGCCTGGGAGCTGGGGGTTCACAGCATGGGCAGTGCCAAAGTCCTGCTCAGGTGGCAATAGGCAACATGACATCAACCCAGGGCAGTCCCGAGGGGGTGGGAGACACAGAAGTACTCACCTGGGGGACAACCAGCACCACCAGCACCCTGCCACACTGATTGGGATGGCAGCAGACGCACCATGGCCCTCATACCACCATCACCCTCCTCCAGCTCCGAGTCTCTTTGCAACCATCCCATCAGTCCTGGAGTTCTCCCCCATGCACACCTCCTTATCTCCCTCTGATTCTCAGAGGCAAGCTTGCCTGGGGCTCAGCAAACCCTGCAGAAAGCAACCCAGGAACCCGGAGTTATGACTCTCTGCCACCCCATCCCACACTGCAGCACACTCACTGCGGTCCAGGCTGGCTACAGGATGGATCGAGACGTGGGTGTCAACACTGCTGTAGCTGGCACGGACAGGGTAGCGCCTTCAGCATGGGCAGGGACCTGCTAACACCGTGCACGTCAGGGAACCGCAGCCAGGACACCTTGCCCCGGCTCCATCCCCCCACAGGAGCTGGGTACCACAGGGAGCGGCGACACTGCCTCCTCCCCGGGGCTCTGCCCAGCAAGAGTGGTGACCCCCTGACTTCAGAGAAAGGCAGGAGAGAGACAGGGGGTAACGTTCATCCCTTTTATTATTAAACATCAGATGAAGAGGTCGCACACACACATACACGCACGCACGCAAAAAAAAAAAAAAGGGAAGGAAAAAAGAGAGAAACAGACTGGTTGAAGACCGCTATTTCGGTGGCGACAGAGACCGAGTACAATTGGTTTCCTGGCCGGAGTGCGGACACAAGTCACTTGCCAAAAAATTAAAAGTCAAACCAGACAGCAGATAACTAGCCCACGTTCTCTAACTACAAGTCACCATCCAGACCGGCCCTGGTTCCCCCAGCCCTCCCAACCCGCTGGCAAAGAAATGAACCAAAACCGAAGAGCCACCGGCCCAGGGCTGGAGTCTGCCCTTGGTGCGGGGTAAGCCGGGAAGGGCCGAGCGTTGGCTGCACCACGGAGCTGGAAAGCAGAACGGTGCGGGGAGGTGACGTGGCTGCACCTGCCTCCTCCCTCCCCAGGAGCCAGGCGGCCCTGGTGCCCAGCCAGGCACCTCACACCCTGCACCCGCCAGGAGACCGCTGCGTGCGAGGCGATGGGCTCACGTCCTCCAGCGCCAGCTCCACGTGTGTCCGAGCGAGCATCGCCCCGAGTCCCTTCCTTCGCTGTCCTCCAGCGCTGGGCTGCTGCTCCTCCTTCCATCCGTCCGTCCGCCTGTCCCAGGGCTGTGAGTCGAGCAGATGTTCGCCTCCCCCCACACCCTTCTTGCTGCTGACAATGCCATGGGAACCTGAGAATCGTTCGCGTGCCTCCTCCTCTTTTTGTCTGTGGTTTTGTGTAGTTTTTTTAAATAATAGTTATAATAATAATAACAATAATAATAATAATAGCAATAATAAAAATAATCGCCCCAGCCCACAACAATTTCAAGTATCCCCCAAATAAAAGACAGAATTATAAATAATTATAACTTTACAATTTAATAATTGACACATATACTATAGTATTTACAGTATCATAAATGCTTTTTTTTTTTTTTGTGTTACTTTTAGTAAGCAATCCCTGAGAACAGTTACTTTTACTTGTTTTTATTGAAGTATCTTCACAAATAGAGGAGTTTGCATGTCTCGGGCGGGTGGGAGAAGCGCTCTGCAAAGCCATCGCTTTTGGTGACGCATGAGGTTCTAGTGTCGCAGGTTTCTTTGCTCGCTTTTTTTTTCTTTCTTTTTTTTTTTGTTCTTTTTTTTTTTTGTTAAATTCCCCACGTAATTTTAAAGATTTTTTACACTTTGCAACCTTCGTATCCCTCCAGCGACCGCGTCCTTCAGGAAAGAGGTATTAGATTTCCAGGTTAGCTTTTGGTATTGGCAAGGGAGGGCAGGGGGCTGAGTGAACCATCCTTTTTCCCTGTGGTTGCCTTTTGGTTTGTGCCCAAGGAATCTCTGGATCCTCTCAGTGTGTGAAATGGTTAAATCCAAGAAAGAATAACATTTAAAAAAAAAAAAAAAAAAAGAAAGAAAACAAAAAAAAAAGAAACAGAAGACCAGAACAGAGCAGCCTCTGCCGATGGGGGGAAGGTGATCTCCACTTTCCTTCCTTCTTCTCTCCCGAGTCCCCATGCTGCGGGCGGACCCTGCCAGTGAGCACGGCAGGAGCCGGGGCTCACCCAAACCGTTCCCGCACCAGCAGCATCAGTTTTTTCTTGCCTTTGTAGATTTGTTTGAGATTGTCAATGAACTGGGCGAACTGTATGTGCCCGTCCTGCGCCAGGAGGAAGGTCTCCCTGGCCTTGCTGAGGAACTCGATGAACTCCCCGTAGTGCCGCGGGCTGATGTGGGTGAGCCGGGAGTGGGTGGTGTTGATGTAGGCGCTTATCGTCGCGTCCAGCAGCTGTCGCAGGGGGGCTTTGTCGGTGGACATCAGCTTCCCCGAGTTCCTGCGGCCAGGGATGCCGGCCAGCCCTGGGGCCGTCATGGTGCAGCGGCGAAGGATGTCCGAGAGCACCGTGGCACAGTGCACGCTCTTCACCACCAGCGGGATGATGGCCGCCAGCTCGTTTTTGCCCAGAGAGTGGCTCAAGGCGCAGGCCCAGAGCACGTCGTTGATGGCCGGGTGCGTGTCCTGGTTGTAGGCCAGGTTGAGATGCGTCATGGCCAACGAGGCCAGTTTGAAGGCCCGGAGCGGGTAGCCCCGGTGCTCCATGTAGCGGGCAATGGTGAAGAGCTGGGTGTAGGTCATGCCGGTGGAGGCGGCGTCGATGACGATCTGGTAGGCAGTCTCGAAGGCAATGTGGTCCTTCTCGCAGAGGGTCAGGGCGGACAGGGCGCAGTTCTGGGGGTCCTTCATGGCACACTGCAGGGCCAGGGTGCGGGCGCAGCTGGCCAGCTCTTCCCGCTGTGGGTAGTCCAGGCTCAGGCGCAGGATGGTGTTGTGGGACATCACTGTGGCTGCCACGATGCTGGTGGCTTCCGTGGGAGTGAACAGGGAGTACCAGCTCTGCAGGATGCTCACCAGGGCCCTCACCCCTGCAAAAAAACACCGTGGTCACAGCACATCCCTGGAGCCTGGCTCAGTTCACAGGGCTCCTCTGAGACCTGGAGACAGGGTAAAGCCAGCCCACAGCAGTGCTGAGCTGCTGCCCCTGCCCCAACAGGGACAGGGCAGAGAGGGACAGGCAGAGGCTGCCCTGTGCTGCCATGCTGCAGGGCACAGCGAGCACTGCTGGCCTGGGCCACATACAGGGGACCCATCCCAGTCCCAAACCCAGCCACTGCTGCAGCCCCAGCCCTGCCAGCTGGTGCTCTGAGGTGCACTCAGTTACCCACGAAGAAATGGGAGACCCAGGAGAACTCAAGACACCCAGAACTACAAATGACCCTAGGATTCCCATGCCCAACCCCACTCCCACCACATGCAGGCCAAATCCCCCCAGCACAGTGAGGCACTCACCCACTTCGGTAGCACATGTCACCAGCCACCTCACCATCTCCCGCCGCCGCCAGTTGAGGGTGGACAGGGTCATCCGCATCACCTGTGAGGCAAACTTGGGGTGAGCAGCTGCCCCACAGGGCTCCAGTGAGGCCACCCAACAGAGTGGTGCTCCTCAAAAATTCCTCTGGTCCAGCTGGCTACCAGCTCCCTGGTACTGCCTCACCTCCACTCAAACCACAGCGAGCACAGGGGCTTCCCAGGGCTGAGCTCCCCTGCTCAGAACCATGCAGGGATCAATTTACTCATTCCACGGGGGACACCCTGCTTGGTGGAAGACCTTCACCAGTGTTGCTGCCACAGCACGTGGGGCAGAAGGGCCACCAGCATCCCCAGCACTATCCCGTACCTGGAGCCCCAGTTCCAGCGCCACATTGAGCAGCGTTGTGTCAGAGTTGCTGTCAGCTGGCGTGGCGATCTTGAATGCATCCTGAGCCAGCTTGAAGATCAAGGAGGAGGAGTGGATGTTCTTCTGGATGGCCTCCAGCACTGTGCGTAGGCGCAGCATGTCCCCTGTGTGCAGGGAAGAATGGTCAGATGGCTCAGCCTCCCTCCACCTTGCCATCAAGCCCCATCTCCTGCCTGCACCATGTGAACAGTCCCTTCAGCTTGCCAGCCCCTCTGGACACACAAGGATGCTGGATCTGGCCCTGCAGTCCAACCGTCCAAAATGGAGCATCCTCCCTAGGAGGTGACACATCCTACAGCATCCATCCTCACTCAAGTTCATCCTCTCATGGAGACAACAAACAACCCTGAGTGATTCCAGACATGTCCTGGAGCTTAAGCAGACATCTCCAGGCACCCGGATGTTCCACTCTGTCCTCAAGTTTGACAGCTGTACAGCTGCCTCTTCCCAGGAAAGGAGGGGTTTGGGGAGATGTCCAGTACTGAACAGCTGCAGAAAGGTCAGTCTTCATTCAGGAACATTAAAAAGAAGAAGAAAAGCTGTTTGCTGCACACATACTGTCTTGCCTAGTAAGTCCCTTCCCTCTGCAGGGCAGGGCTGGGGTCACCCAGACTCACTGCACCTTGCTCCTGCAAGCAACTCTTGCAACCAAGGAAGGCTGAGCTACCCCCAAAGAAGGGGGTTCATGGCACAACACCCAGTGGTGCTGTGGGTCTCCTGCCATAGGAGGTCGTGGGTGCTAGAAGGATACGTGATGGCACTGGGAGATAGGGCAGGATCTTGGAAGAGGAACCCATCGAGGCACATTAATATCATGATCCTGCATCTAAGCTTGGGAAATCCCATGTGGGACACACAGGGTGGGGAGAGGGACCTTCGGGGTGTGTGCAGAGCAGAGGTGCCAGCGTGCCACATCAGGTCTCTCTGCTTTGTTCGAGCTTCATGTTTCTACTCCCAGTGTCGCAGACTGAGCAGATGAACCTCATGCAAAGACAACCAGCAGTTTCTCACAGCAGTGTGAAAAACCCAGCGCTGCACCTGGACACGCGGAGACATCTCGGGTGACTCAGAGCTAAAGATATCGCCTGCCGCCCACCGCAGCCGCTCACACCGCCACCAAAATCCAAACCTCCCTAAAATGGCTCATGGGGGCGCAGGCAAGAGGGGCTGTGAGGACACAGGATCACATCAGGACATGCTGCAGCAGGGGAACACCTGAGGAAGGGGACGGTGGGAAAAACAGATGCAATCCAACGACTCCATGCCCCTCATCCCATTAGGCACTGGAAGGGAGAAAAAATCTAAAGGATAAGCCAGGTACCAGCTCTCCATCAGAGCACTGCAAGTCAGGGGCAGGACACCATCAGCCCCGGAAAAGCAGCCTAGAGGAGGAGGCTGGAAGGAGAGAAGAGGCTGCCAAGGCAACGAGGCTGAAACTTTCTGACAGCTCGTTTTCCTTCTGTCTCATTGGGAAAAACCTTCCTCATCAGGCTGGCAGTACCAGGACAACAGCAGGCAGTGGTAATTGTTCGGCCCACCGACCCTCATGAGACACAAGGCATCCTTGTGGGGTTGGTTTCTCATCAGAGGGATGTTTAATGAAAAGCCTGTGCTCGCCTTCATCACTGTGCCTGGCAGGAACTGAAGAGGCCTAAGGGACCAGTGAGGAGGTGTTTCACAGGCCTCCTGTGGCTGGGACCAAAGTGTCCCACCCAGCACGGCTGATCCCATCTTCAGCCCTGACAAAA